CCCACTATCATGATCCCAATTCTACCTTACAAATCTGGCTAGACCAGAGGATGGACACTGGTACATATACGAACTGGAAACGCAGGGAATCCAGGACAGATGATCCCTTCAGGACCAGTGCTGAGAGTGGCCATACTGGGAGGGTGGAGGGAAGGTGGGGTAGAAAGGGGGAACCAATTACAATGAACTACATATAACCCCCTCCCTGGAGGATGAACAACAGATAAGAGGGTGATAGGAGGCATCGGTCAGTATAAGACATGACAAAATAATAATTTATAAATTATCAAGGGTTCATGAGGGAGGGGGAAGTGAGAAGGGAGGGGAAAAGAGGAGGAGCTGATACCAAGGGCTCAAGGAGAAAGAAAATGTTTTGAGAATGATGAGGGCAACAAATATACACATGTACTTGACACAATGGATGGATGGATGGATTGTGATGGGAGTTGTATGAGCCCCCAATAAAATGATTAGACATAATGGATGGATGGATGGATGGATGGATGGATGGATGGATGGATGGATGGATTGTGATGGGAGTTGTACAAGCCCCCAATAAAATGATTAAAAATAAAGGAAGAAAGAAAAAAGAAAAAGTCCATTATCTTTCTATTCCATTTTTCCACCCACTTTGAGGTGGCCCCTCATCTCTGCATTTTTGTGCTGCTTGATAAGACCTCAAAGCTTATTCTTTTCAGGTGTTCTTTTTGCTTTGTTCATTTGTCAGTCATTTTTCTCTCCGTATTTTATTTGGGGTAGTTTCAAATCCTAGGTCTTCAAATTCACTAAGCTTTTCTTCTGCATCATCTAATTTGCAGTTAATCATTGATTCACGGCTGTCCAGTTGCTTCTGACTCAGAGCAACCCTGTCAGGGACAGAGTTAAAATGCCCCACAGGGTTTGCAAGTCTGTGATCTTTATGGACAACAACTGCCACCTTTCTCCTGAAGAGCGGCTGGTGGGTTCGAACCACTGACATTTCAGTTAGGAGCCATGAGTCTAACCATTATACCACCAGGGCTCCTGATTTCCCATAGAGTGTTTTTTCATCTCTACTATTTCTACTTTGGTCTTTTAAAATAGGTTCCATTTCTCTCTTCATCATGAACGTTTCCCCATTTTCTTGAACATAGGGAGTGTGTGTGTAATAGCTATTTTAACAGACTTGTATTCAAGTTGTATCATAAGATACATAAGCAGGACAGTTCTCAGTCAAAGACCTGAAGGGGCCCCTCTACAAATCCCCAGAATTCATTCTCTCTCTCTCTCTCCCTCTCTCTCTCCAGCTTTCCCCTTTCCAGGACTCTTCCCTGGATTTCCTGTAACTTCTCAAAGCTCTCACAGGGCTCTGCTGCCCTTTGCAGACAGTGGCCTGGGCATGAGAAAGGTTCAGTTCAGTTGTCTCTCTGTTCTCAGGAATCACAATCCAGCATGGTCTGTGTCCAACACCTGGAAATGGTTGTTCCAAATGCAAGTTTGGTCCAGCTGTGTAGTTGTTTGAAGGCAGGGAAGTAAATGTCGTTCCTGTTATTCCATCAGGTCCACAAAGATAGACAGCCATTCATTTGACAAAGATTTACTGAATGCCTATTGTGGGAGCTACACAATCTGGTGTCAACTTGAGACTTTCAAGAGTGAATGAGGTGGAATTTAGCCTGTCAATCAGGAAGCTGATGACCTCATTTGGAGGTGTTCCAGAGATAAATAGTTCGCTGGAGATGGGACACACTCACTCTCTGCTTGGTATTCCTGATGACAAAACACATGGAGCTACACTAGAGCCCTGAAGATAGAGGAGCCACGTGTAGACCCACACCAGCGCTGAGATGCTTACACCACCACTAGATCCACAAGACTTGGCACCCACTGGCCTGTGATCTTCCTGCATTCAGCATCATTGCATGTGTTTTGTGAGTCTGAAGAGGAATTTATAGATTGGTATTGGACATATGGGATAATTTCAGACTTATGGACTTGATCCAGACTGGGATGGGATGTTTTCTCAATATACAATTGCTCTTTTATATAAAGCTCTTTCTTATACACATATGAGTGTCTCCCTGGATTTGTTTCTCTAGTTGACCTGGACTAACACACCTACACTCTCAGAGAACCTGTGCTGAGTACTGGAGAGACAGCGCTCGATGAGCGAGCCCAATGCCTATCACATGAGGAAGCTTGCTTGCTTCCACCGCCCAGAAGGAAAGATCAGCATGAGTGACATGACATAGTAAGTGTGTGGCGATGATCCAGGGCACACAGGAAAGCAAAAGACTATGACAGCTCATCGTATCCTAGTGAGGCCTGAGCTAGTCTGGGCCGTAGGGCAAAGAGTCCCCAAAGAAGGTACATCTAACCTAAGACTTAAAGAATACATAAGAATTCATCTGGATGATGGTGCTGGCAAGGATCAAAAGGTACCGTGGACTGCCACGAGAACACACAAATCTGTCTTAGAAGAAGCATGGCCAGAAGGCTCCTTAAACGTAAGGATGGCGAGACTTCATCTCATGTACTTTGGGCGTGATGCCAGGAGCTATCAGTCAGTCCCTGGAAAGGGGCATCGGGCTTGGTAAAGTAGAGGGTCCGGGAGACCCTGATCAATGAGATGGATTGGCACAGTGGCTACAACAATGGGCTCAATAGCATAGCTGTGAGGTTGGCACAGGACCAGGCCTGTGGTCCGTGGGGTCACTCTGAGTCAGAGCTGACTCGTTAGTCCTGAACCACAACATCAAAAGTGCCAAGGAGAACAGCATCTGCAAAGGGCCTGTGGCAGATCGGTGCCCTTAGAGATCAAGTCCAATCTGAGATTTCTCCTTGAGTAAGCCCAAGCTCAGCACGTTTGGGACTTGTTTAACCCTCTTGTGTTAGAGTGGCAGGGCAGGAACTGGAATTCAGGTTCAGGAGCCTGGCTGCTGATCGCCAAGTCATCGGTTTGAGGCTGTCTGCTGTCAAGACTAACAGCCTTGGAAGCCAAAGGGGCCAGTTCTACTCTGCCCTAGATGGTGCAATGAGTCAGAATCCGCTCCCTGGCCCTGGGCTTGGTCTTAGCAGTGGGGACCTTCAGGTGAAGTGCTCGTTCCGTGACATGATGCTGCTAAGCAAACGTAGAAAATACTAGAACATTGTATACAATGATACTTGTCATTACGGGCGGGTACTCAATTTCATGCAAGATGCAGAGACTTGTATAATTTTTAAGTAACCATGGTCAGAGCTTCATTCAACATACACTTTTAATTGCCTATGTGTTTATATAATTACAAGGAATATTCTGTGACGTGTAAATAAATGTACAAGCGGTCGCAAAGCAGAAAAGAAGGCACACACACATTCAGGGCGCTGGAGCCGTCACAGCACGGCAATGGCCTGGGCGTGCGAGCGCGGTTCCGGAGCGGCTGATCACACCCAGGAGAGGCTCTCTTGGCAGTGGAAGCTGTTAGTGCTCTCAGACATTTGGGGAATGCTTTCATGGCCCCATTTCAGGCTTAATTGGCATAATAAATGTCAATTAGACTCCTTTAAGATTGTAAACTGCGAAAACTTAAGTGAAACTAGTTATGTATAGGTTCACACAAGGCTATTCTACACGAAGGCTCTCCTAAAAGAAACCGGGTGTTTGCATTGACTGTGGGCTACATCTCTCCTGAAATGGGTAAGCACTGCAAATCGGCATCCACTTCAAAAAGGAGGCCCACAATCCTGAAGGTCTCACTCTTGAGTGACTTATAAACTGTTTGAAGACATCTGTGTCTTTCAATAAATAGCCGGGGAGGAGGGGGGGGCTTCAAAAAGATCGTGGCAATTTTCTATTCCCTTTAAATTCCAATTTTTCTGAGTCTTTTGAAGCCCCCTCGTCGTAGTGAGTGCCAAGATATACATTTGTATACACAGGGTATGTGTGATTACCGAGACTGGAACTACAGCCATGAACAAGGTAGACAGGGCTGTGGCCTCAGCATGGATGGAGCTTTCCTTCTCCCGCCACCTCTGAATCGATGTCTACACCCGACTCGATCCAGTGTGAATATCCCACAGCATCTTTGTTAACTTCTAAACCTGGCCATTCGGTTATGCGTCCTATATAGAACTCATTAATGTAGATGTGAGGGAAAAAAACTGTGTTTAAGTAGCCCAAGCTGCCAAGTGTTTGATATCATCATCGTCCTCTTCCGTCCTCCTGGAAGATGCTGGGAATATAAAATGGATACATATTAGTCACTGGTAACAGGCATCTTTGCAATTTCGAAAACAAGAATTAATTACGGATCAAAATGTGGGTATCCATGGAATTAAAACGTGAGCACTGCAAGGGGAGCGCTGGCTGTTGTGTTCGGTAACTAGCTGAGCCCAGGTAATCGGGTTGGGTGACAGACCTGCCCGGGATCGATGTGCAGTGGAGGACAGGCCTGGCAGTCTGGGCGGCTGCGCTGGGAGGGAGGTAGAGGGCACATTTGGAAGTTGAATATTTGTCATCTTCTTATTTAATTCCTCCTGCTCCAGTTCTTCAAGTTCTGCCAGCAACTCATCCTGAATACAGGCACAAGAGAGCATCGGGGAGTTAACGTTGCAAGAGCGGGTTTCCTCAAACACAATAACAAGAACATCTGCTCCCCAATTGATATGTGAGAACCCAGTGAAATGGAATGTTTATATTAAAACTAAGTCTTTTTGCAACATTGAGCAATGATTAAAAAACGAATATTTGGGGCTGTGCAAATTTGTTGTAGCTAATCTTATAATACTTCAGTAAACAGTCATGCAAGTAATTTCCGTAGGCTGAAAATGTAACCTCCACTGTTTTTTTTTCAATGTATCTTTCCTCTTGCTGAAAATTAAGAATTGTGAAAGAGGCTGAATGTCTTTGAGGGAAATAAATATTCTTATTTAGGCTAATGCTACTAAAAATGGAACACATACATAAATAGCACAATGCACAGAAAATAAAGATCTTCTGGTACTTTTCTATCACCAAACTAATATAAATTGTGCTGTGGGTGTGCACTGAGAAAATTTCAACTCAAGGTGGGTATGCCACAAATCCTTCTTTTAGCTATTATCCCAGAGAGTATAGATTAATCCTAAATTATCGTCTGTCCTAAATCTTCAGGAGATTGGATGAGTTTGAGGTCTTAAGGGTCTAATTCACCTTTGGAGAATTTGACAGGACCTGAGGCAGTTCAGATCTTACTGGGCCCGTGACTCCTCCCCTGCCACTCAGAGAGAAGATGGGAGTTGAAACTAAATCTGTCATCACTGACATTGTCAAGTAGTCAGGATTACAAATAGTCTTCCCTCTCTAATATTCCACCAAGTAGATTCTTCATTTATCTATTCATTTATCATTCAACAAACTATTACTGAGCGCTGACTCTTTCCGAGGCATTGTCCTCGGTGCAGGAAATACAAGTGGAACAGATGGCCCCTGAATTCAAGGCTCTCATGCTTGAATGTGGGACAGAGACATATAAAGGAATACATATCTCGTATTAAACTTGAGGGCAGCAATCCCATGGGGCAAGGGAATAGGACTTATACCAACCACAACCTTTTATCAAGTCAACTGCTATCAGATATGAAACAAGCTAAGATTGCCCAGCTTCTGAAACTTGTCATGTGCAAACGACAAGATGGTGTGTGAGGGTTGGACCATGATGGTCAGTGCAGATGTTTGCATCCTGCTGCTCCAGTGGGTCCAGTGACAACATAAACACTGCTCTGTAAGCCCACATGACAAATAACTGCAAATATAGTGGGAAAAATCACAGAAGAACAGGGCATTTTCTTATTTAGAAGCTCTACTTAAAAGTGCCAATCGCACTTGGCAGTTATTAACAGATTGGAAAGATAAAGCTTTTCTTCAGAAACCATGAAGGCAACAATCTTCTAGTATCAACGCACACCCCATCATAAACAAAAGAATTCTGGAACTTCAGGAATTTTGGGAATAATCCAGAGATTCAGTAATTTTCATTTAATAGATTAAAAATCAGGGGTCAAAAAGGTAAAGGGACTTGTAAATGCTTCAGAATAAATGGTGGGAACAATAACAACAAAGAGCAAAGCCAGGTGTTTTCATGCTCAGCCCAAAGCTCTCTGTAGGACGCAGCACCACATGCACTAGATGCTTCGGGACCTTTCTGGAAAGAGGCAGACAGCAGTATTGGAGACTGTGAGTCGCTTACAGGCTCAGTTACAGAACCTTCTTTGTTGTTGTCCCTATGGTTTTCAACAACTCTTTACAAATGTAAAAGCCATCAACTCACAGGCCAATCACGGCTGTGGGAAAGAGTTGGCCCACAAACTGTGTTTTGCCAACCACTGGGGTGCACCATTGATGTAAACTGGTGGCACCCACTTCTTATTGTCTAACACTCTATAAAACCCTATTTTCTTTGCTAGCTGTGCCATTTTTAATGCTACAAAGAAGTCAGATTCTTTGCCCTGCTAATCTGATCATTAGAAATGTTTCAAAATGTGGACTAGTCATACTTGTGGATGTGTGTGCTTTGAGCAGAGTAATTGAAATTCACAATACAAACATCACCATTATAATTATAGTCTATATTATTGGGCTGATTAATCTAAGTGGAATGTGTGTGTGAATAATGCCACCCCACATTTATTTTGTCTCATAGCCTGAGTAATAAACAGAAGCAGCCTACACTCTAATTTAACAGCTATAGAGCATGAGGTGCCTCTTCCTTGCAAAATGACACAATCTGCTTTGTTTTGCCCAGATGTATAAGCACTTGATTCCTCGTAATGGGGCTATTTAGGCTCCAACCATTAAAAGTCACTAACTTTACATAATCACATGCTGCTTTTCCCCTTAATCGCTGAAAACTTAATTAGGAGGCTGTTTGTAAAACTGTATTAATCTTGCCTTTAAACCAGGACTACCAACACTTTGTTTCCTTCTTAAGAGGAGTCCATTTCTAACAAATGCCTGTACTAGTCCGTTCTTTCCGTACGTAGAGAGCCTGCCCGCTGCACGTGGTAGGAAGCCCTCCTGCACAGTAGCCATAGATACGGCTTTCTTTCTATGGCATCACCCACCTCATCAAAGCCGTCACCAAATCCAACCCGTTGAGAAAAGGCTTCTGAGATTTCCTGGGCGATGTCCTGTTGTTCTGTGATGTCTTGCATCAAATCGTCTATTTTGTTCAGGTCCCTGGGAGATAATATTGTATGGAAACCTTAAAAAGTTTTGACTTAAAAAATTCAGAATTTAGCTGTGTAGCCCCATATGAAAATGAGTCAACTCACTATAAATCCTTAATTACATAAGTCGGAAAACAAAAATTCCTGATGCTGAGCCGCGTTTTTTACAAGAAATAATCCTATAGATCCAAATACATTTAAGGATTGCATAGGTAGACACTGAATTCGGGAGTCATTCTATTATTTTATAATTATAATCTTTGCAGGCCTGTTTTAGAATTCTGCCAAATAGGGCACATGCCCATTTTCAATGTACACTGCCATGCATCAACTTTCCAGGAAATGGTGTCATGGGCCACCGAGGACCACCATGACCAAAATCCATTCTCCTAAGATCCAGCAATGCAGCTAAGGAATCCAAGCAGCCAACGGCCCCAAAGGTAGAACCTCATTGAAGAGCATCTGAGCCCTGTTGGCTCCAACCACCAGCCTAGGCTAATTTGCCTAAACGCCAATATCTGAACTGCTTCCACAGTGTTCTATCGGTCTCTGCATCATCCCTCCAGTTCTGAACCTACTCAAAATCTGACTGCATACGAGAGAAGTCACAATTGTCCTCATTATCAACTAACCGAATCTCTAATTTGTTGATTCCCAGAGCGATTAATCTTTTGTGAGTCTCCCAGATCCTATCCCAGGGAAAAGCCAGATGTTCGGACATGTATTCACCTGGTGATCCGAAAGAACACTTGCACACTCAGAGCACCACGGCACATCCCAACCCTTACAGCTGCCTACCATGAAGACATCAGATGAATGTGTTGTTGTTGTCGTTGTTGTTAGGTGCCATGGAGTGGGTTCTGACCCATTGTAGCCCTGTGCACAGCAGGGGTCACCGTCCCTTCTCACAATTGTTCCTAAGGCTGAGCCCACTGTAGCAGCCGCTGTGTCAAGCCTTCTCTTTGGGGGCCTCCCTCTTTCTCAATGCTCCTTCACCAAGCACGATGGCCTTCCCCAGGGCCTGGGCTCTCCTGACAACACGTCCGAAGTATGTGAGACAAATGCTCCTTGCCACGAAGGAGCATTCTGGCTGTATTTCTTCCAAGACAGATCGGTTTCTCCTTTTATCAGTCTGATACTTTCAATATTCTTCTCCAGCACCACAATTCAAATGTATGTATTTTTCTTCAGCCATCTTTATTCAACACCCACCTTTCACATGCACGTGAGGCAACTGAAAATACCCTGGCTTGGGTCAGACACACCTTAGTCTTCAAAGTAACATCCTTGGTTTTCAATACTCTAAAGAGGTCTTGCTCAACGGATTACCTGATACAATGCATCTTTTGATCTCTTGACTGCAGCTTCCATGAGCATTGATTGTGGATCCAAATAAGACAAAATCCTTGGGCCTTTAATGCTTGAAGATATACAAGCAGCCATTTAGCTGAGAAGCAACAGAGCCCACAAGGAAGAAGCACACCAGCCTATGTGATCATGAGGTGTCGATGGTATCAGGTATCAGGCATCAAAGACCCAGAACAAAAAAATCATATCAATGTGAATGAGAGGGAGTGCAGAGTGGAGACCCAAAGCCCATCTGTAGACAATTGGACATCCCCTTACAGAAGGGTCACAAGAAAGAGACGAGCCAGTCAGGGTGCGGTACAGCACCGACAAAACATACAACTTTCCTCTATTTCTTTAATGCTTCCTCCCCACCCCCACCCACTATTATGACCCCAATTCTACCTTACAAATCTGGCTAGACCAGAGCATGTACATTGGTACAGATAAGATCTCGAAACACAGGGAATCCATGACACATGAACCCCTCAGGACAAATAATGAAAGTAGCAAATCCAGGAGCGTGAGGGAAGGTGAGTGGAGAAAGGGGAAACCAATCACAATAATCTACCTAAGTATAACCCCCTCCCAGGGGGACAGACAACAGAAAAGTGGTTGAAGGGAGACAGCAGTCAGTGTAAGACATGAAAAAAAAGTTATAAATTATTAAGAGTTCATGAGGGAGGTAGGGGTGTGTGTAAAACAAGCTGATACCTGGGGCTCAAGTAGAAAGAAAATGCTTTGAAAATGATGATGGCAACATATGTACAAAGGTGCTTGACATGATGGATGGATGGATGGATGGATGGATGGATGGATGGATGGATGGATGGATGGATATGAGAGCTGTAAAGCCCCCAAGAAAATGATTTAAAAAAAAAAAGACAAAATCCTTGACAACTTCAGTCCTTTCTCAATTCATCATGATGCTATTGGTTCAGCTGTGAGGATTTGGGTCTTTCTTACACTGAGTTGTAATCCGTACCGAAGGCTACAAATCTTGATCTTCATCAGCAAGTGCTTCAAGTCCTCCTCACTTGCGGCAAGCCAAGTTGTGTCATTTGCATATTGAGGGTTATTAGTAAAACTTTTCTCCAATCCTGATGTTTCATTCTTCTTTATAAAATAAAATGAATAATTTATTTTTTTTAAAAAAGAGGTCTGAGGATGGTGTGACTAATGTCTGAAACTGGGAGTAAATTTTCCAAAAGGAAACAATGGTATGAGACTGTTTTACTGCTTTACGTACTTTCCTATTTTAAATATTTAACATTTCAGTATGCAGCTTAAGGTAATATTAGAGGATTCTGACTTGGATAATGAATCTAATGATCTTCCTGAAGATGTCAACATGGCGGCTGGCTGTTAACGATTTACTGAGGCAAGAAACAGCTAACAAGAGCTGTCTTCATTGTTTCCTGCCTGACCTTTCCCCACCTTCCCCATGCTATGGAGTCTCTGCTATAGCCCTCAGATACGCAGCGCTCTTGTGTGTCCCTAGTGCAGAGTCTACTGCCATGTCCATGTCCAGTCTCCAGAACAGATCAGGTCCCAGGCATGTACTTCCAATGTGCATGTCAATCAAATTGCCACCAGGCCCCTACACTATGAATCTTGATTATTGAGCGTGTGCTTTGTACCAGGCACTGTGATCAGTGTGTTAAATCAAATATCTCATTGATTCTCACAACATCCATGTGAGATAAGTACTGGTATTATTTCCAATTAACAGATAAGGAAACTATCACAAAGAGCAAAGCAGCTTGCCCAGAAGATAGTCAGCAGTAAATCTGGGATTATAACCCAGAGAATCTGACTCCCAAACCCATGACAACCTGTGGTAGTTAGATAATCTGGTGTCAATTTGGGACTTCAGGGGATTAAGAGTGAAGGGGTGGAGTCTAGTCTGTCAAGTGGGCCATAGCCAATGAGGCCTCTGCGTGGGCATGGCCTTCTCCTGAGAATTCTGGGAAATCCAGTATTTCCGCCTCGCAGGCGAGAGACACCTCTTTCTCTTGGTTCACTTCCTGGGAGACATTGCAGCTGACAAGACAATGGAACTACTCTAGTGCCCTGAGCTTGAGAAGCCACATGGACCTGCCCTGATGCAGCCCTGAAAGCTGGAGAAGCCACATGGAGACCCCTGCCAGCGCTGAGATGCTTACAATGCCACTGGATTCAAAGACTTTCTACTCACTGGCCTGTGATCATCCTGCACTGGGCGTCATTGCATGTGTTTTGTGAGTCTGAAGAGGACTTTATAGATTGGTATCAGACATATGGGCTAACATCGGACTTATGGACTTGGACTGGACTGGGTTGGGATGCTTTCTTAATGTACAATCACCCTTTCTATAAAACCCTCTCTTATACACATATGAGTTTCTATGGATTTGTTTCTCTAGTTTACCCAGACTGACACACAACCTTTATCCTCTGTCGTTGTTGCTGTTGTTGTTGTTGGGCACCATGGAGTTAGTTCCGGCTCATAGCAACGCTGTGCACAGCAGAACAAAACACTGCGCCATCCGCACAATCGTTATGTTGGAGCCCATTGTTGAAGCCATGTGTCCGTCCACCTTGTTGAGGATCGACCTGTTTGGGGCTGCCCCTCCCATTTACCAAGCCTGATGTCCTTCTCCAGGGTCTGTCTTCTCCTGAGAACACGACAAAGCACTTGAGATGAAGTCTCGTCATCCTTGCCTCGAATGAGCATTCTGGCAACACTTTTTCCGAGACCGGTTTATTTGTTCTTTTGCCAGTCTGAGTGAAGTACTTTCACCTTTCTTCGACAGCACCAGATCAAACATTGCTTAGTATCAAAGTCACCTGGGAAACTAGGTTAAAAACAAAAGGCCCCAGGCTCTGTCCTCCTTTGAGGAGCCTGAGCCACTGGGTTCTGTATTAGCTGTCTAGACGATTCTGATTCCCACCACTAGCTCTCCAGTCTACGGCAGATGGAGCCCCGGAGGCGCTCTCAGGCAAGTGTCGACCACCAGGTTGGCAGTTCAAATTCCTTAGCTGCTCGGAGGTAGAACAGGAGGTTGTCTGCTCCTGGTCAGATTTACAGCCTCAGAAAGCCCCGGTCGGGTCCCGCTGCTCAGCATGGACTCAGTGGCAGTAGGTATGGTTGCAGGGGAAAGATGCAACCATGGGCTTCCAGAAGGATTTATAGATAGCCATGGAAACTCGCCTGTGACCTATAAGGTCACTGCGAGTCGAAACGAGACTTTACGACAACGGGCGAGGCAGTCTGTAGTTCTAAAACCCTCATAAATGTTCCCATTTAAGTGTCTTTAAAATTATACAATGAAAATACAAGTGGGCTGTCCCACGATGGTGAAGCTGTTGGTAAATATTAAGGGTAAGAGGTCTTTCCACTGCTCACTGAAACCACCATGGTAGTTTTGGTTTGGGTTTTACTTTTTGGTTCTTTTGGCCGCCACAAGTTGTAATATTTCCTGGAAAAAGCATTCCACGCCAACATCCCAAAGACATACGCTCTCACTGCAAAAGCACAGCTGCAAAGGCTTCCTCAGCATCAAGGAAGGAGCTCTGGCTCGGACAGGGGACCCCAGTCACTCACATGTTCTCATGCACCGCTTTCATGGCTTTTGCCGCAAAGCCCATGTTCCTCAGCACCTCGGTGTTGGTGTGTGAGTTTTCCAGGGCTTCTCTCTGGAACTCAATGGTGGACAGGGTGCCATCAATCTGAGTTAGCTGCTTCTCAAACCTCTTCTTTCTCTTTAGCGCCTGCAATGCAGCTAAAGAAGGAAGAAGCCGCGTTTGTAAGGAGGACACCGCAGTCACTTACTCAAGTAGCATTGCCTCAGCACCAACGCTGCGCCCAGCACTGTGGATACTTACACACGCACACACCATTGCACCTGAGAAGCTGGGGCGAACCACGCCAATGCCTCTTCCCCTCCCAAGTGCAGGGCGGTGCAAGAGGCAAGAGAGTCAATGTTCCTATCCCATATAAGATGCCATAGAAATAGTTCCAACCGTGCTGGATATTAGAAAGAAGACAGATAAAAAATATGTGTAAAAGTCATACGGCAGGAATGGTACATTTTAAAGGAAGGACAGACTTTACTGATTGTGCCCGCTAACAGTTTTCTTGCTTCAAAGACAAGTTAATGGAGAGCGGGAGAAGTTAAGGGACTTCCTTGAAGACAGACAGCTCGTGGCAGCGAGAACCAGAAGCTAGGATGTAAAGCTGCATGCTTTGTTTATGAGAGGGTCCGTAAGGTCACACACAATCATAAGTGCCTGGGACACCAGCAGTACTCGTCTCAAAGTGACCCATAGGACGAGCAGTGCTCCCCAGAGTTTCCAAGGGTATAAACCTTTACTGGAACCCAACTGCCCGTCTTTATCCTGGGACGAGTGCTAGCACTGCAGAGGCAAAGTCGCTCGAACAAGGGACGGTTGGCAGTGGAGCGAGCACCGGGCTCCATCGAGTGGGAGGAGAGCGTGCTCAGTCTGAAGGCCCGGGAATCCCAAGCACGAGAAGGTAACTCTTCAAAAGCTTTGGCATGCGTGCAAGGGCGGGACGCTAGTACGTCAGCTTTACTGGTTGCTTGGCTTCCTTCCTCCCAGGAGTCTCGAATAAAATGCTCCAGCCTTGCTCCCATGTCAAACGAGAGCAACTCTTTCTCTTGGCAAAAGACAAGAACTTAACTCTGGAAGCAGTGCCAACTACCAACCTTTAGGTTACTTGTCAAGTGCAAGTCATTTGTGCCACTAACAGACAGACCTTCACGCCTCTACCGGTTTTACAAGTGTGCTTCCCCGCCAGGCCACAGCTCGGTGTAAGACATGAGGGGGGGTCTGTGGATTCCAAGCTCACTGCCATCGAGTCGATGCTGACTCATAATGACCCCACAGGGCAGGGTAAAACAGCCCCTGTGAGTTTCGGAGGGTGTAACTCTTTACAAGAGTAGGAAGCCTCATCTTTCTCCCTCGGAGCTGCTTGTGGTTTTGAACTGCTAACTTTGCAGTTAGCAGCCCAACGTGTAACCTCTAGACCACCCAGCCCTCCTTCCTGTCAACAGGGTAAAAAGCAAATTCTTCTCAGTTTTCCATTAAAATATATGCCATGTTTTCTAGGAAAAACAAATATCAGTTTACCTCCTGAAAAAATTCAAAATGTAGGGGAAAAAAATTCAAGAAATAAAGGCTTAAGCATCAAAGGACCTACAGTTTCATCCTGGATCTACCATTAAATAGTTCTATGACCTTAACTTGTCTAGCTGCTGTTCCTCCCTTGCATAATAAGAGCCATAATGGCAACAACAACAGCAGACAGAAGATGACAAAGGGATGTTCAGCTGTGAGGCCAGTTTGCCTACCTGCAAACTTGGGTTTTATCTAGCCGTGCCGATAGAACCTTAAATAAGTTGCATACTAGAAAATGGGGATCATATCTCATTGGGCTGTTGAAGGTAGAATGAGATAACATATGTAAAGTTATCTAGAAGCAAAGTGGGTTATGAGTTGCGTTGTTAATCACGAGGTCAGCTGTTCTTAACCACCATCTTCTCTGAAGGAGAAAGATGAGGCTTTCTACTCCTGTAAAGAGTGACAGTCTCAGACGCCCGCAGGCGCAGTTCTACTCTGAATGCGCATCGACTCTACCTTGGTGAGAGAGAGAGTGCTGTGAGGTGCCATGAAGTCGCTCTCGACCCATACTGCCCCGATGCCCACAAGAACGAAACACTGCCCGGTCCTGCACCATCCTCACAACGGTTCCTGTGCTTGAGCCCATTGTTGCAGCCACTGGGTCAGTCCATCTCCTGAGCGGCCTGCCTCTTTTTCTGCTGCCCCTCGGCCTTAGCAAGCATGACGCCCCTCTCCAGGAGCTGGTCTCTCCTGACAATACATCCAAAGTACATAAGCTGCAGTCTCGCCATCCTTGCCTCTACAGAGCACTCTGGCCACACTTCTTCCAACACAGATGTGTCTGTCCTTTCAGCAGAGAGTAGGAGATGCTAACATGTGATTTCTGTTCTTCAACCTAGTTGTGAGGAATGTGAAAATTCACCAAGCGCTGGAATCCCAATGGATGCGACAATTCCAATACTGTAACCTACAGATTGACCCACACCAGAGTCCCACCGTCAGAAGGAGCCCAGAAGGTAAGGAGAGTCTGAGAAAAAGGCCGATGGGAGCAAATAGACCACCTTTGTTTTCCCACGTGGGACCGGGCACAGAAGCAGAGGAATGTTCTCTAACGTGACAGCCCAAAACAAAACCAGTGCAGGAATGATGATCAGTGGCGATGACCTCGGTGGCAGTGGGGACTCTAGAGGCCCAGGGAGGACCAGCCTGATGGAAGGAAGCGGTGTGCCTTGATTCCACTGGCGGGCTGCCATGCAGACCAATAGGCCCAGAGCCAGCAGCCATCCAGATGTGCCAACGAAACAGGAATGTACATCTGCATGCAAGAACCCCCATTTTCTTGATTTATCATTGTTTAAGACCCCCCATTTTGAATACTGATATGAACCCTGGTGACGTAGAGGGTTACACATGGAACTGCTAGGTCAGCAGCTCACACCCACCAGACACTCGAGGGAGGAAGATGAGGCCGTCTGCTCCCATCAATAGCTACAGCCTCTGAAACCCTAGGGAGCAATTCTACGGAGTCACTGTGAGTCGGAATCAACCTGACAGCAGCAGGCTTGGTTTGCGTTTTACATGTTTTTTTATTGAACTATACCAAGGGTATGGTTTGGCCAGGCTGCAGTTAGCCTCGGGACAACTGACATTTGCACCACCAGCCTGGACTGGCCCTTTCGGCTTCTCCCAATATAGAAAAAAAGTACGCCCATCCCAAATAGCCAACAACTGTACATAACACCCTGCTGTAGAGCGACTTCCCCCGTGAAATGATGAAATCCCTGACCGCTCAAGAGCTGGACAGGCCTCCCTTGGTTTTCTGTAGGTCGCTAAGGGTCACAATCTGTAGCAATACATTTTGGGGTTTCACATGATTCTCTAATCAATTAATTGGGAACAAAACAGCCAGATCTTTTCAACGACCTGCAACAAAATGTTGCAAATCAAGCATTACTCCCGATTTAGCAAAGAAGGACACTTTTAGTGCCAGGTAATTTAACCTGCAGGGAAGGTGCGATGCAATCTCCCCAACTCCTGGCTTGTATGTGCTTTGCAGCAGCTGGTGAGAGCTGGGCAACATTCCTTTTGCAACAAAGGAATATAGTGTATTCCTGTGTGGTGTGGAAGCCGCCTGGGGCTTGCTCTCCTCATAGAACAGTGCTGTTCCTTCAGCAAGGAGCCACAGAACAATGTCCTTTATGTACGGAGGCTGATCAAGAAGAGTTTATACTGCAGTCCGTTGAGGATTGGGCCTGAAATTTAAGAATGGCCCACTTGATTAAAAGTATAGCTGTCCTCTAAAACCCTCTACTGTACTACTACACTGCGCTGCCCGGCCAGGAGGGTGCTCCGTAGTCAGTGCCAAATAAGTCAAGTTAGCAGGAAAGGGTTGCAGGACCACCGTTCACATATCGCGAGAGACATATTGATTGTGAAGGTCAGTCCATTGCTCTTTTGCTCATTCAAGAAGTATCCAGGCATGCTCCATTAATTTTGAACAATCCTGCTTAGTAAAAGACGAAGGTGTATGACAACTCTTCTCTTACCTAGCAATGGATGAACTCTAGAGACAGGCTAAAAGATGAAGCTGAGGTACCCACCATTTATAAGCATGCTGACGATCCGTGGGTGTGCAGTCATGCCTTCTTTCGTTCTCAACTAGGAAGTCTCATGATCATGGTATTTCATCTTAAGGTCTCTAATGTAAGCCCTGGTCTCACTCAGAAAACCAGTCACCTCATGAGTAAGTAGCACCTTCCATTCACGGTGCTAGTTATCGGTGAACAGGCACCAGCCTAAACATTTGACAAAGGGAAATAAGAACAAAATGTCCCTGGTCAAGGTCACACATTGGTTTGACAAGCTGGAGGAAATACTAAAAAATTCTAAAATTTATTGGACCAAGAAAATTCCATGAATAATGTCCCTGGCAATCTTCACTTAAACATACATTTGTGATATATACTAATGTATAACATCCAAGGGGGTACCCCAAAAACATCAATTGCACTGGGTGGAGTGCAGCTTTCATAGCACACATTTTCCCCTCTAGGGAAGCATTGAGCAACTCACTCTGAGATAGTGCACTCAGTGGTGTCACCTGGGAAGGTTCTCCCTGATCACGGTGAATTTTTTCATAAAAGCAGTTTCACTCGAACTGCTTTTTGTGATGGCTGATTTAAAAGAACAGTGTGCAGCTGTGAAATTTTGTTTCCTGCTCAAGAAAATGCCACAGAATCTGTTTTGATATTGAACACAGCTTACAAGGACAGCACTATGATAAAAACTCAAGTGTATGAGTGGTTTTCTCATTTCAAAAAAGGTAAAATATTGATTGATAATAAACCTCGTGCTGGACATCCATCAACCTCCCAAAAGGACAAAAAGATTTACTCATAGTGCACTTGCAGTTTGTTCTACCAGGTCAGACAGTTAATCAAGCTTTCTATTTAGAGGTTCTGAAAATATTGCATTACAGTGTGCGACAAAAAGGCTTGATTTGTGGCAGATGGGGAACTAGTTTTGCCACCACGAAAATGCACCTGCTCACACAGCCACCTCAAAGCACCAGTTTTTTGGCCAAAAAAACGGGATGCCTCTCTTTCCCCAGGCACCTTACTCACCTGACCTCACTCTGTAC